GACTCCCTGATGTATACAGAAATTATTGGTCATTGTAATATACTTGGAAGATATTTATAATTTTCCCTTAAAAGACTTATAAGAATTTTGATATGATTTTGCCATGGGAATGGGAATGGGAGGGTAGAGGGAAGAAATATAAGAATGTATATGTAAATATATATTATTATAATATATTACATTAATAACAACAACAACAACAACAACAACAACAACAACAACAACAACAACTACAACTACAACTACAACTACAACTACTACTAGTAGTAGTAGTAGTATTAGTAGTATTAGTATTAGAGGATAGTGGAGGAAAAAACCCAAAGAACCATAATAAAAGGACACCACACTCTTTCTCATATGCTGTCAGACTTCCATGAGGCCATGAAAGATGAAAAATCCTTTGGAATAGTAGAAGCAAGATCCTAAAAAATGCTTAATAACAATAACCTTTGAACTGCAGACCTGGAAGGGACCTTACAGAGCATCACGTCCAGCCCCTCTCTCAAGGAGGCGCAGTGGGGAACTGAACTCCCAACCTCTGGCTCCACAGCCAGAGACCTTAATGCCACGGGTTACTTCAACTAAAATTCACCAACCATTTAAGGGTCAAATGCATTCATTTATCAAAGCAGTCACTATTACAGACAAATGATCTTGCAGACACCAGCTTACTAAAATAAGGCCCTTTGGCTGTTATGTAGGAGATTCCATACCGAAATTTCTGGTCCAGTATATGCAGGAGCAGGTGGCTCATTTTCTTTAGGACTTTCAAGTGTATCTATTAAATCATCTAAGGCAGTATCTAAGTCAGACTGGAAAAGCAGAATTGTAAATGTTAGGCATACAATACTCCAGACATGACAGAAATGTTTGCTTAAAAAGTATTTCTTTTAAAATATACTAAACAAGTTCCAGTGTATTCTGAGTATCTGACTACACTCAGGCACTTCACAAAAGTAAAAACTAATTAAAACAATCTCCACAAAGGAGTTCCAAGGAGTGACAGAAAGATACATAAAAACAAGGTACAGTACATAAAAACAAGATAACCAGAAACTCTGATGCTACATTAGATATTGACTTAATATTTCTTAGCACTAGATTCTGTTGTTACCATAGTTTTTCAATAAAAGGTTAGACAACCATCTGTCAGTTATACTTTCATTTGGACTCCTGCATTGAGCAGATGGTGCAACTCGATGGCTTTATAGGCCCCATTATTCTACGATCCTACTAGGCAGCAAACAAAATGCTGCTTACCTTTTCATCCGGTGGTTTACTGCCTGCTGCAGCAGGAGTTGTGGCTATTGATTTATCTTCTTTAGACTGAAAATAAGAATGTACTTCTGAGAGCTAGTGCATGATTACATTTGCATCTCTTTATTATCAAATTCAAAGCGGAATGCCAAAAGGTGACATCATTCCTGCCTGTCCATCACAGAAGCTCAAGGGGAGGAGTCAAGGATACAGCAGGAGGGGCGGAGCCAGGGAGACAGAGAGAGACAATGGGAGATGTGGAATGAGAGTTAGGGTTTTAGCAGTAAGAAGAAGAGAGTTAGGGATTTGAGCTGAGATTCTGTTGTTACCATAGTTTTTCAATAAAAGGTTAGACAACCATCTGTCAGTTATACTTTCATTTGGACTCCTGCATTGAGCAGATGGTGCAACTCGATGGCTTTATAGGCCCCATTATTCTACGATCCTACTAGGCAGCAAACAAAATGCTGCTTACCTTTTCATCCGGTGGTTTACTGCCCGCTGCAGCAGGAGTTGTGGCTATTGATCTATCTTCTTTAGACTGAAAATAAGAATGTACTTCTGAGAGCTAGTGCATGATTACATTTGCATCTCATTGTTCTCAAATTCACAACCCAACACTTACCTCTGCAGCTGCAGCAGTCAACCCAGCAGCTGCAACTGCTCCAGCTGCACCAGCCACAGCTGCAACCGCCCCTTCGCTAGGCAATGGCTTGTGGTCAGATTTTGCCTGAGATGGAGAAAAAATTAAGAGACATTGTACATATATGCAATTGTGTTTTGTTTCTCTCTCTTCTCAACCTGTGAAATCAACTTTTCATACTTAGGAATGCCACTAAATTGCTTTCTTCAGGAAGTTTTCTCACTTGGTTTGTTTCTTTACTTTTACCTTTGGCTCCTCTTTTGTTATCAGCTGTGCTGGTGACCCATCAGTCTGAATAGAGGCTGCTTTTCCAGGCACTGTTTTTTCAGGTTCTGTTACAGTAGGAGGCTTGCTTGGGCTTTTTGCCTGCACGAATTAAAAAAAAACATGTTATGAATGCGTTTACATACATTTGGCTTGGAAAGAATTATACCAACACAATATAGAAATAAATTACCCCTCTAGAGTCTTTTTGCTTCTCTTCAGATGGATGTTTAGTTGTAGAAGCATCCAGCTGTGTCTACAGAGAAGTAATATAAATAACCATAACAGTCACTTATTTTTTTAATGTAGAACAAGCATCTGTCAGAAGAATAGTAAAATAGCCAACATTTCTGTCAGTTTCACTGAACAGTTCAAAGGCCAATGGCATCCAAACTCAAAAATGTTGTATTTGCATGACATGGCTATGATTTTCAGTCAACACAGTATCATCAGAAACAGGAGTTTTCAACTAGGGAAATGTTCTGCTTGAATGTTAATGCACAAGTCCAGTCAAGATGGATACAGCCCTTCCAAACATGCACCCAATGAGAATTACACATGCAGTATCTGCAGCCCATGCTCCTTCCATCTGTTAGGTCTACTCCACCACCCAAAGGATGACTTTTAAGAAATACAAACCAGTAAAAGTAAAGGTTCCCCTTGACATTTTTAGTCCAGTCGTGTCCGACTCTAGGGGGCGGTGCTCATCCCGTTTTTCAAGCCATAGAGCCAGCGCTTGTCCAAAGACAGTGTCCGTGGTCACGTGGCCAGCGTGACTAGGGAACGCTGTTTTACCTTCCCACCGAGATGGTACCTATTTATCTACTCGCATTTAAATGCTTTCGAACTGCTAGGTTGGCGAGGAGCTGGAACCTATTGCTAGTCTCAGACAGACTGTAGACCCACTATATCAATTTTCAACATTTCTCTAAATCCCACTTTATCAATGGGTCTCTATTCAAGTTGGGACTAGCATAGAATACTTGTGTACAGAAAGCACAGGCTTGACTACCGGCCAGGATTTTGAGACACAGCATGAAGCAGACCTGTTTCTTTCTGAGTGGGAACAATTCCAAGCATCTAATTTCCAGCTGTGGAATCATGGGTCTTGTAGTCTAGCCCATGCCTCCTGAACTGAGTGGGAGGATACACACTGCATTATTTGCTGTCTGAGAGAGCTAGCTGGGTATTTTAAGACTTTAGGGAACCCTCCTTCATATGTTTTCCTCTCCAATGCAATTCTTTATCACTATCCTTCAAGTTAAAGAAGGAAGAATGCTATGGTCCCTTCTATAGCTCTGCTACCTGCATGAAGCAAGACTCATAAACCCATCAGGATTTTCCAAGCATTCTCATCAAGCAACAATCAATTTCAAAAGCAGCTGCAGCTCACCTTTACGTAGGAAGAATTTGGGAGGTAACATTATTAATGACAATATAGAGAGAATAAACTGCATGATCATCCTCTTGAAGCATGAGACTGTAAAATCTATTCTTTGTGCTCAGTAAAAGAAATCAGCTGAATCAGCTAATACAAGCAGCAATATACTACGAATCCTGATTTAGGCTCATGCAAGCAGGCTACAGAGGCAGAATTTCCTGTCCATCATCTCTCTCCACAGATGCAAATGAGTGGGATAGACAGAGATTAAGGGGAACTACCTAAAATTGGCAAAAGTATTTTCTTTGACACAGGCTCCACTCACTAGCGGCTGTGCCTGGACTGGGATGGTGTCCCCCTTCTCCCAACCCATTGAACAAAACCCATGATGATCTCTGTTGCTGGCAATGGAAAGTGAAAGGACTAACAGGGGAGGAGCCTGTTTCTGCCAGACCAGTTGCTTGCATTTGCAATCTACTGAATTTAAAATTAGAAAACTAACATTTTCTTTATGCATACAGTAGTAGGCACACTTAACTCAAGTTCAGAATAAGGTATACTATCTTACCTTGGCTAACTGTGCTGCTTTTTCAGATTCTGTCTTTGACTTCTGTATTGCCTGCAACATGAATATTATGGAAAGGGTATAAAGTATTAAAAACAGTGTAAATATTCTCTAAAAAGAGCATTTACAAAAAGTTAAAAAGAATATGACTCAAACCAGACAGAACAATTCTGCCACCTCAGAACCATTGTGATAACTTCCCTTTCAAAGATAAAATGAACCGCTTTCATTGGCTTCAGCAGAAATGGGTTCTTGTGAACTGCTGATAACAACTGTAGTCTTGTGAGCTGGTGCTAAGACTGCAGTTAAGTAAACCCAATACAATAATTCCTGTGACTTTCTGGAAGCCTTTCTTTAAATTATGTGGAAATTCTTAACCCCTGTATGGGGCACAGATGAGATGCTCGCTAAAGGAAGGCAGTGGAACAAAGAAAAGCAAAGAAAAAAGCACATTTGTAATGTCAGATAAGGTATGTTGAAACCAAAATATGTGGGGTGATTGGGGGAGACCAGGGAAAGAAAAGAAGACATTACTAATGTGGGAGATGGGTTTATGTCAGCTCAGAAGAGTTTAACATGATTTTAAGAGCTCTTGAAGCTCTTTCAGCACTCACACAATACAACCAACACTTCAAGTCATGTTTGACATTTCCCTAGGGAAGCTCATTCAGCACTCACACAATACAACCAACACAATAATTGCTCACTTCAAGTCATGTTTGACATTTCCCTAGATAAACCAATCATTTTAAAAACCACGCAAAGCATTTTCATGATGCAAACACATGAAAACTGAGCATAAGCAGGTCTCTGAAGCCAGCACATCCACACGCACAGAGAGAGACAGAGCTGCAATTTTTTAACAAGAAAGCTAGACTTCCAAATGTTAAACAAGAGGAAGAGATCCCAGCTTTCTTGTTTTAGCCCACAAAAATCTGTTATGGTTTCTACAAATTTCTCTAGCAGCGATATTTATTGGTTACAGTATCATCATATTATAGTTTGGACAGTCAGAAATGTCTCAGAAGTGAAATTAAAGATAGAAATTGCATTTTGGAGACTTATTTTTACAGTGTACTATGCCTTCAGGAAAAAAAAACTCAGCAGCATGCTTTCACACAGTTAAGGACAGTCATAAACTGGAGTTTATTAGTTCAGTGACAAAGGATGAGCACATGCCATTGGCTGTGACTGCTGTTATCAAACAAAGGCACGCAAAACCTGTTATCACCTGCTTCTTGTTTCTTTTCTTTTTGTGGGATTCCGATCCACTCGTCTTTTGTTGGCTTGAAGAAGCCTAATATCGGGAGTACAAACTCAGGATGCTTAAAGAAATGACTTGAGGAATGTTAAGAAGATCTGTACTTTAAAAACCAGGAAGGGGAAATTTTAAAGCACAGAGCATTAACATTATTAAACACTTTCTAAAGAAATACTGTGTTTGACTAAGAGATTACATTAAACTCAGTATTTTCAGTATTAAGAATTCTCTTCGCAACACAGGCTCCCTGCTGGGCTGAAGGAGTTACTAGGAAACTGTGTGTTCATCATCATAATCATCATCACTTTACAACTGTAGACCTGTAAGGGACACTATGGATCATTCAGCCTAGCCCCTGTCAAGGAGGCACAGCAGAGAATCAATCTCCCGACCTCTGGCTCTGCAGTCATATACCTAAACCACTAAACTATCCAGCAGCTCATATGTCTCTTCTAATGGACAGTATATATGCTTGTGTTGCTTTGCCTTTTGATAAACATGATGGTGTATGGCTGTGTGAAGAGATGTGAAATATCACAGGCATTGCTATCTCCAGGTCACCTTTCTACATTTCTTCCTTGTTTCCACCTTCTTTCTAGACATTCCCTGAAGAACCTACAAGGGGAATAAACTTTCCAAAAGCTCATCATGGACCACAACAATTTGAAACATGAACACAGAAAGCCTGGGTTAAAAAGTAATTCCAGTCTTCCTGTGCTAGTGAGAACAGTGATCTGTCTAGCTTACTGTTCTGCCCAGGATACCAGAGAACATCAAATTTATTAGAGGAAGTGAGTGAAAAACTTGAGCAAATTATTAATATTTCACAACTATAATGATTGACAGTTTCCTTCTCTCCACTGTCTCAGCCTTGGTAGGCAATAGGTTTGTCCCAAAATGTCATTTTACTGAGCTTTTTATGTCACTGCCCAAACGGATGTATCATCCTTCCATATCCATCTACAGCTCACCAAATAAAGCTAAAACCTCCATCCACTATTCCTCATCTCATGCAATAACCATGAAACAGATGATCAGAGATGAGGAGAATCACTTTTTAGCCATACTGGTTCTGAGATTTGTTGAACTGTAGTTCAAAAAAGTAACTTTAGTCATAACGGTATGTGATCATTATATTATTAGAGATCTTTCATATGAAATCACTGGAATTTTTTTAAAAAAGAACACTCAAATGCCAAAATCCATTGTTCTTTTATCCAGATGGAGTTTGGCTTACGGAGTTTGGATTATGCTGTAGCCTATGGATCAAGACAATCTCACAATTTTCTTGGCCCTGCTTGGAAAATACTGCACTTGACCATTTGGGACAGGAACTACAGGACCAATGCAGAAGGCTATTTTTCCATCACACTTCAGAGAAGATACGGTACAAGGCAACCATCTCTCCAGGGAAGCTCAACTGACTCTTTTTCTTTCTTTGCTGCTCCAGTAAGCCTGCAAAGGAACCTGTATGTTTTGCTCATGGCAAACAGATGTCTGTTGCCATTGGCTTTGCCTGCACAGAAAAGGAATCTCAGTCTTGTCTCTTTCCTTTGTTGGGTCAAGTTATACGTGTATAATTCTCTGACTCACAAAGTCCAATTTTCCTGTCCGGGATATTGTTTGAGCGCAGTTTTCCATGGCTTAAACACCTACTCACGAAGCTGGATTTTTAAGCTTTTTCTCCCTGCCAATTCCCCCCTCACTTAACCTGATAGAGTCCAACAGAGCTCAGAAGCATGAATGTCTGTGTATTTAAAGTTGATCTTAATTAAGGCACTGCCCATCAGTAGATTCTGGCACTTAGATTCTGTTTTACTCCTAGAGAACAACATGGGCTAAAGAATCTTTGTTCTTGTGGTGGGAGAGGTACAGTAGTCTTCCTCTGCAGCATGTAATAAGTTTCAGTCAGTGAAACTTATGAAGGAAGGAAGGAAGGAAGTATCCTGTATTGTGAAGAGTCTTCTAAAGTAAAAAAGTAAGAGAAATACAGGTCACTACTGCATTAGGAACTGCTATGTTAAGTCCCCTTAAAGAAGCAGAAGAAACAGAAGCTCTGATACATGGAATTAGTTAATGCCTGGCTTTATTTTAGCTACAGTTCAAAAGTACTTGGCTCCCTGATGTATGGGACAGACCAGAAATGCAGTGCTACAAATATCGAGAATTTTAACATCCTATATTTATTCTGTAAGAAACAACGAAGAGCTGCTTTCTATACATTTTTGTATAATTTATAGGTATGTACACACCTGCTTCCACTGTAATGTAAACACAGGCACTGCTGGATTAGCTAGTAAATCAATTACTGGAGCAAACAGATACCAGCAAGTATGTGACAGAATTAATACTCCCTGTCACCAAGGAAATCAGAGCAGTAAAGGAGGAAAAAATGAAGTGCTGGTTGCCCATGAAACATGTCAGTCTCTATTTCTAAATACTGTACAAGCCCACATCCAAAGGGGGACATTTCAGAGGAAAACCAGTATTTCTTTTTCTAAAGCATCACAGCACCCTAAGCACAATGCGGACTTCTTCAAGGTCCCATGTAATTTGCATAATGACTGGATAACTTCAGTTTGTGACTGGACAACTTCAACAGCCTCTCTATTCTTCAGTGGTACTACTTCTCCCACATTCAGGAATTTAAGCAAAGTGCCGGTATGAGAAAGATATACATACATACCTATATATCTACATACATAATTACTAAAGAGTTAGATTACTCTTCAATTCTGTTTACAAGACAAAACATTTCAGGAGAGACAGCACAATGAATTTTCAAGTTTAACTGCAGTAAAAGCTCATTTAGCACTGATTCCCCACACTGTTAATGCTTGGGGAGCCATTCTGTGGTCTTCGACAGTGGCCCAGTCTATCTAGAGGTGGTAGAATGGGCCTCTGGGATAACTGAGGCCCAGTCTACTCATTCTGTGCTCCTTTGTTAAAAGGACCCTCTTGCTCAGTGATTCAATTAGCATTCCATTTTCTTGGAACATATCCTGAGTGCTAAGTGGGACATTACTGTATATTTATTTGCACGGATTTGGCTTTGGTGGCCTCTCTAACAAGACAGGAGGAATTCAACCATATATAGCTGACCCTATAAATAGAGTATCAACTAATCAACTATCTCCACTTGAAGCTATAAATAGTTTAACAAATACTTTGTCTATTTATATGGTTACTTGACTGACAATTACATGGGGAGCAATACATATGACACCATCAGGATAGACTGTTCAGATTCTGACTTATAATAAAGTTCAGGAAGCACAGAGTGACATATGCATTCACAGGTCATGACAATTTTATCTTAACAAGAAAATTAACTAATGACTTTCTAATAAACTACTTGAATGGAATAAAGACTCCAGACCATATATAGTTTAATACTTGACAGCAATAGGCACATTCAAATTATCTCCATCAATTTCCTTTCTTTAAAACAGAATTTATTCACTAGCATATATTGCAAATCAGAGTATGGTATTATTCCCTCTCTGATATTTGCTCTGACTCTTATGATTTAAAAACCCAAAGCAATATTTGAGTTAGTTAAATGTTCATGACAGCGTGAGTTCCCATGCAGGCTGCCACCATACACTCTAATACAGGGGTCCCCAATCCCCGGTCCACGGCCCGGTGCCGGTCTGTCGGCTACCACAGTCTGGGCCACGGAAACAGATCTCTGCCCCCTGCACGCACGATGGGCATGTCACGCTCGCGGAGGAGCATGTCACACCCGCACACATGCGCGTGAATGTGACACATCCCTCCCCAAGTGCAACACGCCCACCCACGAGTGTGACACCCCCCGCGCATGGAGCCCGCACCCCCCAACTGGTCCACAGTCCCAAAAAGGTTGCAGACCGCTGCTCTAATAGACACTGGAACTGGCCCTCCCATGAACCTTTGTGAGTTGCAGGGAATCCAGCCTCAGGTGGATGCTTTTACCATTCAAAGCAGCAGCAGAGTGGGAACAGCCTGGAGGTAGATTGGCCTTCTCCTGACTCCTTTGGTGGCTTACACACCATAATTCTGCCTGGGGTTTCTGGTCAAATTACAGGAGTGGAAGTCCTAGAATTCTGAAAGTCCCACTCTTCATAACAGCAGAAAATATACAATCCCCATAACATTTAATTTGACCCACAGGGGGTTTGCTTCCAGAAATTCTCCCCCCCCAATCTGTGTTAGCCAACACGGGCCGCTCTCTTGTTGCGTAGTTCCAAGTGTGCAACAGGAGTGATATCACTGCCTACTAATTAAAGATTCCTTTTTTGTTTGTTTATGGATATGTGACTCATGTACAATGATAGGTGTCACAAGCACCTCAAAATTGAAAAAAAGGCTCTTCAATTAGCAGCAATCTGAGATGGCAAGTGGCTTCACTCCTCTTTTGCAGGCAGAAGTATCCAACAATATACAGCCCAACATTCTAAGTGTTAAAAGGGGTAAAATGAGGAAGACAAAGGGCACTTTCTAAGAGAGATACTGTATAATCACAGCTGTTGCTAATAACATCAACTGCTGGAAGAAAAATATTAAGCTACCAGGCAACTTTGCTTATTGTTTGCTTCAGAAAACATACCTTTGTTTCAGAAGGTTTCATGGTGGGAGTCGGTTTTGAGCCAACAGCGGATGAAGGCTGTACCTGCATTATAGTATAAACATGTATTTATAATTAATTATTCTACATAACTATTAATAACGATTTAAAATTATAGAACATATGGAGCAAAAGTAAGACACACTTCTGTTTTCTAAAACTCACTTGGTCCTCCTGAACTTGATGGATTTTTTGCCATGTAAATACAGATTTCTTACAATCTACACACTGCACTCAAGATACTAGGATACTGTAGTTTTATTCAAACAGATAAATAACTGGAAAGCCACAGAGTAACAACAAAGCTATAGGAAGGTAGTGTGTTCACTTATAAATTGTAGGAATAATCTAGAGTGAAGTGTTTTAGGAATATGTGCCACAAATTGCTGACAGAATAAGAAGAACAGCACTACCTGGTGTGCTTATATCTGATCTGCATCAGGTCAGATTTGAATGTACAGTATCATTTTTTTAAAATGTTACTTAACGTGTGTTTGCTTTGAGAAACAAAAGTGGTTTATCCACAAATATCCACTGAAATCCATTATATATTTAAAATAATTAATTAAAGGTAGATTTTGTTTTGACATATCTCTGAGTAAGGACCAATTGCTATTGCCTGACTTAGGAAAAGAACATCAACCATCACAGGCTGTTCACAAAATCATTTTCAGAAATAGGGTGTCAAAATAAGTTTTCCACCCACCTTTCTTGCATCCAAACTGAAACTATGTTTGCAATTAGAATTCAGAACAGTTCTTATACATCTAAAATGGCACAAGTATTAATTTAATCATTATTAAACTACTGTGCTTATTCATAATTCTATCTTAAGATCCAGCATTAATTAAATTGCTGGGTATGGATTTAACTTGCCAGGGACACTTCCAAAACCAGCCTAAATAACACATTGCAAATATTCTGAAAGACATTTAGACTGGAGTTTTCACAAGTCCCAGATAATATATTTGTAGAAGAGCCAAGAGAATACTGGCTTTATTTAAAATTTCTACTTCACCTAACTTGAAAGGTGCCCTTACTCTCTTTGTGCCCACACTGTATAAAATCTGGCACACACATTTTACATATTCAGGGATCTTGAGTGAGAATTTTCACCACTGACAGTCTCCGTGTCTATATGCTCTGCTCATTTATAACACTCTGATACAACTTTAAATGCCACAGCACTATCATACAAAATCCTGAGATTCACAGCTTGGGTATGCAAGTTACTTTTTGGGGGGGGAGGGGGCTGCATACAGTCCCATAGCACTTGAGCCTTGTAGGAGAGAATTATACTACCTCACCAGACTATAAATTCCAGGGTTCTGTAGAATGGCGCTCTTACTCACACCACTATAACTGAACAGTGTAGGCCGCATTCTCACTTTCAGCTGCTGAATATCACGCCCAAAGGTGTTCACCAAATATCTAAATCTGACTACATTTCCCATCAATCTCCAACAAGTAAATGCTAAAGAGAATATGTCATACTTTCAGGAAACTGCCTTAAGCCTAATCGAATTACATGCATACAGTCATATTCCTTATTAACACAGGACTAGCAAGTATCTGTTCCACCCTTCCTTAGTCATACACTACCTGTAAAACTTTCTCAATCAAACATTCTCTTTGTCTGGGCTCAGCAGAGTTCACATTTCAGGCAGTTTGGTGCCAGGTGCCAGGGCGCAGAAGCAGGCATGAGGTTTACAGAAAGAGGTTGAGGTTCACAGCAAGAAACAAATATCAGAGGGGCCAGAAGCAGAGGTGTGCTCAAGCACCCATCAGGAAAGTGAGCAGAAGCTCAGGCCAGTCACCCCACATCAAGTGTCCGGGATTCAGACTGACAAGTATATTGCGAGGCCAGAGGTCCTGGTGGGTTGGGACTAGATTTTTTTTAATGGTTCCCTTTTTGGCAATACAAAATGCATATACACAGGACCAACCTGTATGGATCAAGACTGCAGGGAAGAGGAGACCGGATTTTAAAAACCTACCCTCATATTAGAACTTGGAAACAACCTTGTGAAAACAATGCATTAATAAATTATAATTAAATGCCTTACTCATCTTCTTAACAGGAGCATAATAGCAACAACATAAGACATCTAGGTACAATAGCAATCTGTTGTTTGCTTTTTACTGATCATGCACTCGTCCTCAAACTAGCCTGCCTCCCCTCCACCGCTAAATGTTTAGTTTGACCCCCTAATTTGGCTGGCCTCTAACTGAAAGAGGGGTTGCTTTCTTCCAAGCCTCACAGCCAAAAAGGAAGAAAGAGGGACCTCTTCAGGTTTCCTAGACTATCCTTCACCCATTCTGATATTTGCTGATATTTCTGGATGCAAAAATGTACTCTGCTAACCACTGCAATATTCAGGGGCTGAATCCATGTGCTTACTAGGCTGCTGCTTAGGGCATCTTACTCTGTTAACAGTACAGAACCCTCTTCTGGATAAAAGCTTGAACTCTCCCTATCTAAAAATGTTGAAGAATAAGATGGAAACCATGGCAATGTAGATATAAATAAATGTTTCCAATATTGTTATAAAGATTTAGGACTATTTGTTACCTTATATTTTTAAGTTCGAATCTCCGGCAAGGACAGACAGGAAAAGGCACAAGACAGCTGAACAAGCCAATTTTATTAAAGTACAAAAGTTCAGCTGGGCCTCCCATCTTAAAAGCAGAGGGAGACCCAGAGCAAAGAGTGAACCTATGTTTTATAATGGTTACAGACAAAGAGCCATAAAAGTACTACATTGCTATTGGTCATCTGTACCCCAACTTTTGGATCTTGGCCGTGATTGGACTTCAGGTATTTCTGCAGTTGACCTATTATTGGTCATCTGTAACCCAACCTTGGATCTTGCTCCTCATTGGATCTGAGATGCTAACTTAGCCAATCTATTGGTCAGAAGAAAATATCAAATTTATGCCCTGATGTTTCTTTGACCTGTGCCCAAGATACGCCTGAAAGTCTGGGAACAAGAGTATCCATTATTGCTGCCTTCCTCCCCTGACATTCCAATGACACTTTGGGCAGGGTATAGAGGGCCCTTTTGTTATTCTAAGTGTAGCCATCTGGCCATACTTTACCACAATGTCAGTTCCTGGTGTAGGGTGGGGGTTTCTTGTTTATTTAGATGTCCCATGGATGGGCCAGAAAGACTCCCATCAGGTATGGTTGGCTTTTGGGCCTGGGGGCCTGAATGGCCTCTGCTCTTCCCTAGTCTGAGGGGCAGGATCAGAATAACATTTGGAGAATGTATAAAATGTATACAGCATTAAGGAAGTATAAGATACAATACAAAATAAGATTCTAAAATACAATTGAGATAAAGTGTATAAAACCATAACTGGTACTGTACATCCAGAGCATTTGTGGTATAGATACAGTGGAGATACAATACTGTTACAGCTACATTGTGAACAAGATGTTAGTACATAGTACCATGCAGATTCTTATACTCTGTTTCTCTGAAAATAAGACCTAACCTGAAAATAAGTCCTAGTATGATTTTTCAGGATGCTCGTAATATAAGCCCTACCCCAAAAATAAGTCCTAGTTAAGTGAAACCCCACCCTCCACCATTGTGCAGCAACCAGAAGGAAATGACAGGACTGTATTTGAATAAACGTAAATTATTGTACATGAAAACAAAATCCCCTGAAAACAAGCTCTAAGCATTTTTGGAGCATAAATTAATATAAGACCCTGTCTTATTTTTTAGGGAAACACAGTAACAGCCATGCTGTACTATTCTAGGTTTTTCAAAGATCCAAAGGAGTAATTAATCTGCATTGAAAGCATATTGCAAGGAAATACAAAAGCCCAGAGTGTTTCCTTTTTAACTACCTAGCTGACATATTATATAGAAATTTATTACTTTTAATCAAGGATCTTGTATTTTATTTTGCACCATCTCTTTTTGGCATGGTGCAAAATTCGTTAAAAAGAAGGTTTTGTCCATTGATACAACACGTGAATACATGTTGGGCTTGGAAGCAAATACGAACATGCTGCCTGGTAACTGACAACAGCTGGATGACTCAGAGCAAAACAGAACTTGGGAGGGACTTCATCGTGTTTGGGGGGGGGGAGGCACACCCAGTTAGAACACAATGCAGAACTGCCTGGTGACCTGCATGCAACTGGGTAGGCTTTTAGAAAAATAAAAATAAGTGAAAGCAAAGTAGGGCAATATATTTATTGCATTTCTGAAAAGTTAAACATAAGGTAAAATTTCAATTCTCTACAACTCTTCAATGGGCAAAAATGTTACAAAACATGGGGGTCAAGCAGGAAGTCCCCAAATTGAGCCAGTTATGATGCCCATGCCTCACGCAGTCAGATTGCTAGACAGGCAAAATGGAGTTTCAGATTCTTTACAAGACCAAGGTGACAAAGGTATCAGTTTGCAAGCTCTCCATCTCGCTGAAGGCAAAATATTTCAAATAATTACAAAGGCAGAATTAAACCTCACCACGGAGGTTGCCAGAGTCTCATAATATCAGAGTTCAACTAAATAGTTACGGTAAGGAAGCAATGAAAAACACTTCTGTCTTAAAAGTACCAATGGGAGTTCGTGGGAGGAGGACCTTAGCCAATGGGTTCAAATTACAAGAGGCTTTTAATTAATGCTGTGCTGCAAATTTGGCAGATCTCTTGCAATTGGATAGAAAAGACATCCCCTTCAAAGAGAATCTGAAAGAAGAGAACACTTCAAAGAAATTAACATAGGAGAAGCTCTGGGTTCTTAAGCTTCCCTTACTTATGAGGTGGCTTGAGTGTGTATGTGAGAGGGTATGTTTTTTACTTCAGCTCTTTGGCAGCAGGCTTACAACTGCCCCAGTTTTGGATAGATATGATATTTGGAAATTCTGAAATAGGTGCTAAATGCTGCAGAATGACAAGGGCTGAGTAAAAATTCCATAAAAAGAACTGTTCTGAGTTTTTTCTTTGCCATTCTCCCTTAAAAATAAAAGGTTGCTTTTAATCGTTATTTTCAAAATGATTATTTTGGAATGTTTTTGGTCTGGCTATATCATTGTCAACAGCATTATAATGCCCTAGAACAGGTATGCCCTCAGATATTCTTGGACTACAACTCCCAGAAGTCCCTGCCAACACAGCTAGTGGTGAAAGAGTTTTAGTCCAAGAACGTCTGGGGACCCAAGTGGGAGCCACTGCCCAAGAAGGATAGTGAGAATTGTGGAACAAACAAGATGGTGGCCATTATCCTGGTCCTTGTGGCCATTTTCACTAGTAGTGTAAAAACAAAAATTCTTAGGAGGGAAAAAAACAAAGGTTGCTACAACCATAGCTAATGGTGAGCCCCACCTTTGAGAAACTGTTCAAATGTATCTTCTTCTCTTGGAGAAATCAGGTGAAATGCTACCTAAAAATGGGAGGGGGGGGATTTTCAAACTGCCGTTTGAACACAGCTATAGTTTCAACTACACTTTAGGAAGAATTTCCTGATTACATAAGCTCTCCATCAATGAAACACGCAGACTCAGACTTTAGACAGTCTCAGATCTTATATGAGCCTCGTGGTGCGTTGGCTAAACTGCAGTACTACAGTCAGGACCCTGCTCATGGTCTAAATTCGATCCTGACAAGCTCAGGTAACCAACTCAAGGTTGACTCAGGTTTCCATCCTTCCAAGGTCAGTAAACTGAGTACCCAGCTAGCTGGGGGTGGGCGAATGTGTAGCCTGCATAATTAAATTTTAAACTGTAAACTGCTCACAGAGTGCTTTAAACCCTATAAAGGTAAAGGCTCCCTTTGACATTTAGTCGAGTTGTGTCTGACTCTAGGGTGCAGTGCTCATCCCCGTTTCCAAGCCATAGAGCCAGCGTTTGTCCGAAGACAGTTTCTGTGATCACATGGCCAGCGTGACTAGACACAGAATGCCGTTACCTTCCCACCGAGGTGGTACCTATTTATCTACTCACATTTACATGCTTTCGAACTGCTAGGTTGGCAGCAGCTGGAATTAATGAGGGGAGCTCACTCTGTCGCGTGAATTCGATCTTACAACTGCAGGTCGTCTGACCTGCAGTACAGAGGCTTCTGCAGTTTAACCCTCAGCAGCCTCACATCCCACGCTTTTATACTGCTCTATAGGGTGTTAAGCCCTATAGAGCGATATAAAAACAGCACACTATGATCCAAGCCGAAATTATGACTGCACCTAAACCTGTAGGTGCTTTCTTCAGAATACTGATTTTATAGGCCACAACTCTCTGTCCACCACAAAATAAGGAAGTCCAGAGTCTAAAATTGCCTAACTGTACCACTGCCACAAAACATAGCAAATCTGAGAAAGAATTGAGCCAGATTTGGAAATCCAAAGTGTGGCATGTTGATCAAGAAAAGGCAGAAGTTCAAATGTCTACTGTTTATACTGAGACCTGGCCAATGCAAAGGCTTTTACTAAATGTCCCTCAAAGAGGCAAAGATATAGTCCAGGGGTCTCCAAACTACAGCCTGCGGGTTTTGTCCGACCCGTTCCCTTCAGCCTGTGAGCACAGGGAGGCGTCCGTTATCTGCAGTCACTGCCTGGAGACAGGATGGCCTCTCCATGGGGAGATGGCAGCAGGAATGTACAGGACTCGAATGGTTAATCATACTATTTCAAGATACGTACAAGAATAAAAAGTAATATTTTAATCTGGAAAAATTGCCATCTGATGCAACTGCCCATCAGGTTCACCCACTGTATCTTCTAGAGCAGCGGTCCCCAACTTTGAGCCTCCAGATGTTCTTGGACTTCAACTCCCAGAAATCCTGGCCAGCAGACGTGGTGGTGAAGGCTTCTGGGAATTGTAGTCCAAGCACAACTGGAGGCCCAAGGTCGGGGACCACTGTTCTAGAGAACTCCTACAGATATAGTTCTTCACAATGGTACACAGTGAGTTAGAAACACTTCCTTTTATATCCGAAACAAGTGTTTCTCTTAATAATTTCCCCACTATAAGTATGGGTTTTGAAAAGTGTACAGAGAGAGCAAACATTCAATTAATTCCCTCCATTCTGACAACCTTTCGTTTACACATCATATCTACAAGTTCCAGTCCACTCAAATATGAAAATTAGGGCAATAAAGCCATTTCGAGTTAGACCGCAGGGCTTATTGTATTTGAGTCTGTCAGCAACAATACATATCTACTCAGAAGCAAATTCCACTGAATTCAGTCAGACTTAATTTTGTGTAAAGAAATTTAGGAAAGAAATTTAACAGCACCAACTCACTGCAAATTCAATTGCTGAAAAAAGCTGTTTCTTTAAAACACGGAGAAAGAAGTTACAATTATTTCATCCATCATCCCTGCTACTGTTAGCTTAACAAATGCAATCTGTAGACTAGAAGAAATCACTGTTTCTACGCATGCCTCAACAAAGGAAAAGATCCCAGTATGACAACAATTGCCTTACCACACCCTGAATGGGTATTTTCAAAATACACAGGGAAGAGACAGTCAGCAATGACACATCGGAATTCTAAGAGACACCTCAGTGGGTTTCTGGCACTCAGCAGTCTTAGTAAGCAGCCTTAGTCCCACAACCCTGGAGATGCTGATATCCTTAAAACATTTTGCCAAGATCTTTTCAGCTGCTGCTTTTATAAAATATTTTTTTTTTTACAACTACACAACATGATCATCCGTACCCTTGTGAGAAAAGCCAGTCTTCTTCTGGCAAGAAATGAGAAACACAAGGCAAACACATTATTAAGGTATGATTTGCTATAAATGCCACAACAGCATGAATGCTTCAGCCAGCCCCCCCCCCTTACTAAGCACGTCACCAACACAGCTAATTCAAAACTCATGTTTCCACAGTACAGAGAACTGAAGGCTAGTAGAAGGAATGAAGGCACACACTTGACAACACCACGGGCAAAATCTGCTGGCAGAAACAAAAATATCCAGGGGAAAAGAAAAGCACAGCACTCACTCTATACACCGAGAATACGGCTTCCCAAATGCCAGACTAGTCAATCAGGCGGATCCTTATCAGACACTCATTTTCATTTCAGTCTGTGTCAGTTCTTCTGCCTGTGGTTTCAGTTTTAAGACAATCCTATCGAAATCTGTGTCTTTGAGGATGACACAGCCAATCCAAACAGCACATCCTCCCAACACTCTCTGCACACGGGTTTAGTGGCTCCTCCCTTCTATGACAGTTTATCCAAACAGGTTTGACAGATCCTCACGTGGAAAAAAAAATAGCCAACTAGCCTAAGTAAAAAGGGAACCGGAAGTGCAAATCAAAGGTGCGTATTTCATTTCAGTGGCTTGTAGCCAGGAGTTATGGATCCTAGATATCAATGACGTTTTATCACCAAGATTTATTGTGGCCACTGTTTTTTTATAATTTAGCAGTTACACAAGACAGTAAGAGGGCTTAGAGTAGGAAAATGAATAAAATATTTGTAGACCTGGTAAAAGTTACTTTTCAGATGACAACACCTAGAATTCCCAAGCAAGTGGAGGATTCTGGGAGTTCTAGTCCCCAAAGTAACTTTTCTAAATTCATACAACTGCAAGAGTGGATGACGCCTTTTACTGGACCAAACTTTTTCAAACTTCGCAGGTGGAGGATTCTGAGAGTTCTAGTCCCCAAAGTAACTTTTCCAAATTCATACAACTGCAAGAGTGGATGACACCTTTTACTGGACCAAACTTTTTCAAACTTGGTCAGAACTCTTTTGCCTTTTTACAAATGGGAAGAAGAGACTGTCAAATCTCTCCTCAGTTCAACACCTCACCCTCCATAAAATTGACATTTAGTCCCTGATGATTCCTGCCTATTCATCAAGAAGAACTTGTGGGTACAAAATCTTAAACCGCTTTCAAATGTCTCCATTCTTGCTTTATATCTAAATGAAAATTCGACACCCCAACAGTACATGTAAACCACCAGCAGTACATTAATTCTGAGCATTAGCAACACTTCTAAGAAAGTAGGCTTGTTTATAAAGACTTGAATTACCTTACTGATGGAAGATGTCCCACTTGACTGTGTTTTAGGAGATTCAGCAACACCTGTCTTGGCAGGCTTCTTCTGAGAAAGAAAACATTAAATTAAAAAATAAAAATCAATACTGACAGTAACAAAAGAAAAATGCTTCTATAAAGACAGTTACTAGGTTCCATTTCTAGAGTTTTTTCCATATTTATATATGTGTGAAGATGTGTACATATAAGTCAGAATCTAAAATGTTACTTCTGGGGACTATAAATCCTTTTGAAGCGGGGGGGGGGAGTGCCACTTCTTGCATTCTCATGCAGGAGACAAGAAATATCCTATGACTTGCAATTGGTAGGCTGCTTTGAAATAACAAAACAGCTTATTTCAAGGATGGGCAGTTTTGCAAGACTTTTCACATCCCTCCACTGAAGTGGGTTTCTAATTTACATTTCTGAGGTAAAGAACAATTGTAGTTTACAGATGTAACCATAATGGGGAATTACGATTGCTGCTACATGGAAAGCAAAGAAGAAAATTGTGTCCAGGAAAGGAGGATTTATCACAGAAGAATGATATAAGAATGGTATAAAAGAACATACAATGAGGACATAATGTTACAAAATGTCAGAGATCCCTCAGTTACTTTACAGATCTATTAAACCAGTGGTTCTTATCCTTTGTTTCTCAGATGTTTTTGGACTGCAACAATGAGGACATAATGTTACAAAATGTCAGAGATCCTTCAGTTACTTTACAGATCTATTAAACAATAGGGGCTGTGGCATAATGGAACACTCAAGAAAAGACAATACGGATAGAATAGTGCCACCTTCAATTAATGCCTGTTATACAAGAGCAGAACCACTGTCACACAGCATGGCATGTTCTATAAATCCACTTGTTCAATGAAATATGTCAATTGATGGATTCAAGACTACCAAAGGTGATAGAAGAGTCAGCCGTGTCACGTGGCCTTTCCCTTCCTCTATATGCACTTCTCCCACCAAGGCCACCAGGTAATTTGAACTTCAAACCTAGCTTGAAACATAACTGACAATGGCATAAGAAATCAAATGTATCAGCAATCATTGGAATTAAGTAGTACTCTTGCTACGTTGCCTAAGAGTGGTAAAACATACTCAAAGGAACACTACTAGTCTACTATAGATCTTATTCTCTACCCTGTCAAAAGCAAGACCTTGCCCTGTGTTTACAATCTAGAGATTTTCCAAGTTACATACTGTATCAAATAAAGACTTCAGTAGGCAATGCACCATTGACATCTTCAAAAGTTAAGCCATCAAAAGTATTAATAATATTTATTTATTTATTTATTTATATTAATAATATAGTCACTTCCAGCTAGTTTTGGAACATACATGGTTGGCAGGAGCTTTCTAGGGGGCTCTATCAGCAGCAACAAGTTTCAATATATTATCTTAAGTAGCCACAGTCATACTAGAGATGTCTAGAAATCTGTTGCATATTATTTTAACCTATTGTCATAACAATGGGTTTCATAATTGGTGTACCATCCTGCCCATTTTGGAAAAAATCCTACATATGAGGAAGGTCCCACTGATCCAATATAACTGACACCTGGATAAGAAAGAGAGAGAGAGAGAATTGCAGCTATTGCTTCTGAGCCACATTAAGTCAAACACTATAATTCTTAATATGCCTGATAGTGAATATCTGTAGCTTAGTCACTAAAACAGAACTTTTAACCAACTGGTATTGATCATGTTGCAGTGAGATACTATTGTGTTATAGCTCAGAGTAATACTTATGGGCCCAACTAAATGAAACAGTGTTTAACCCTGTAAAACAGGGGGAAAGCCAAAAAGCACTTTACACTGATGTGATTTTCATATGTAAGCAAATTCTTAATCTAAAAGAGTGCAATAATTTGCAAGATGACCAATAAGATAGCTCTGTGGTTTAGAAATCTGGCTGCAGAGTCAGAGTTTTTGGAGTTCAATTCCCCATTCTACCTCCTTGATCAGAGTTTCTGGAGTTCAATTCCCCACTCTACCTCCTTGACAGGGCTAGACTTGAGGATCCACAGGGTTCCTTCCAGCTCCACAGTTGTTAGATGATGATGGTCTACTAAACACTGACTTTATTAGACTTTGATACCATTTTTCAAACACAATGGGAATTTCACTCCACCCATATAAGGTGATGGTTCTTATGGGTTTTCCGGGCTGTTTGGCCGTGTTCTTAAGGTTTTTCTTCCTAACGTTTCACCATATTAGTCAGTTGAGCAAGAAAGGGAGCACCCAGCAGGCTTTCCCGAGGCCTCACTAAATGTTACCCAACGAGACATTAGTACAAGTTGTGTAACAGTGGCGCTATGAAACATAGGCAGATCTGCACCAAATTGATATATGCTTTCTCAAATTTTTAAAAAGATTTTTAAAATTTTTAAAAAGATTCTGACAAAGGAATAACAAAGATAACTAACTATATGCCATTCAAGTCAGTTCTGACTGACAGAGCTGATGTCAGTTCTGACTGACTGATGGCATCATGATATAGAATCTAAACCTCTGCCATACAATCTGATCCAGGCCCTTTGACTTTCAACCAAGCTTCATTCTATACTAGGGGATAAAACTGAACCATATGAATATCACTGTGGCTCCTGCCAGTCCACCATATTACATATAGGTTGTGACAAGCCACACGTCACACACTTGTTCTGTTTCCTCAATGCACCTAGAAACATGCTGCTGATTGTTTTCCTAATTAGCCCAAACTACTGCTACTCTAAGTTCCACATATGAGCAAAGGGATGTAACGTTTCCCTTACATGAACTCCCCACCTTACCTGAAAAATGATCAGTGTACTAACTGAAGGGTTGAGATTCCCTGCGTTTAAAAAAAATGAACCAGTATGTCCTTTCTCTCTCTTTCCATTCCTTTCCATGACAACTATAAATTTTCAAATTTAAAAAACTGGATTTTTAAAAACCGAAGCCATTTCTTCCAAATCAGTTGTTTTGACTGTCAATTTTGTTTGTTTTTAAAAGCCTGGTTTGATAACAGTTTTAGTTTAAAATGCGTTACAGCTCAAACACCTCATTGTAGTACAGTGATACTGGCCAAAATCCTATTAGACAGGGTCTACCTGCACAACAGGAATGAGACATCTGCAGTGGCAAATTGCTCTGATTCAAGGCTTCCTTCTGTAGAGGGTGCACACGTCTTTATCACTTTGTGTATAAGATGTGCCCACCCTGAAATTGCAAAAGAAAACCCTCAAACACTGGCAATCTGCCACTCCCGTTCTGCAGGCTGAGGATTTCAACAGGATTTCAGCTTACATATTCTAATTCTATATTAGGAGATAATGCATTCACATACTTGCTTTTAAATTATTTTATAAACAAAATCCTCCAGTTCTTGGACTGTTGGCTCAATTTTATGAGACATCAGTCCATAAGCTTCTCTACAACTGTTTAGGTGAAACTTTTAAAAATAATGTTTAAGCTTCCACATAAGAAAATCCTCCAGATTTCATGGCTAGCCCACAGATTGTTCACCTACCAGTGCCTTCACAAATCTGTTTCAATGAGCTTTGACAACTAACCTTATACAACTGCAAAATTAATCAAAAAGTTTTTCAAAATAAGTCACAGTTCTGTAACTGTTGTAGCAAAGGACCAGATAGTGCAATAAGATTTGGCCATTGTGACCCAAACAGCTATGCAGGAGACAAAGAATGGGGGAACAGGTTAGGTGTTCATCAAAACTACCGTATTTTTCGCTCCATAAGACGCACCTCTAAAGGGTCCTAGGGTGTGTTCCAGGACCCTTTAGAGACTCACACTGCCTCCTGGGGGTCAGAGGGGGTGAAACTGCCACCCGCTAGGCCTCTTCTGAAGCTTCCCAAGGCTCAAAAGAGTCCCAGAAGGTGGCGATTTCACCCCCCGCTGGCCCTGTGGGGGGTGGGGGAGTGTCGCAAGGGTCCTGAAAGGCTCACTCGGACCCTTGTGACACTCCCCCATGCCCCCCCGGGCCAGTGCCAGCGAAATCACCAGCTTCCAGGACCTTTTCTGAGGCTTGAAAGGCTCAGAAAAGGTCGTGGAAGCTGGCGATTTTGCCCCCGCCGGCCCCGTGGGGGGTGGGAGAGCATCGCAAGGGTCCTGGAAGGCTCACTCGGACCCTTGGGAGGCTTCCCCCATGGGGCCAGTGGGAGCGAAATCGCCACCTTCGCTCCATAAGAGACAGACTTCGCCCCACACACACTTTTTTTGGGGGGGAAGTGCGTCTTATAGAGCGAAAAATACGGTATATGGCCAGCCAATGTTTCTTATAGTGATATGCTAAAGAGGTGGAAATGGAAGTGATCACATAATTATTGGCTTTTGATAGAGCAGTGGTCCCTCAACCTTAATACACAACTTATACAATATAATTTATAACTGTATAGTTTATACACAACTTGTCATCAAAGGAAAGTACAGACGTCTTCCTTTTGGGAGAGAGGGAATGCACACAGGCATGTGCCTTTTGCAGAGAACACACTGTAACCTGTATTTTTGATTAGTAAGGTAAAGGTAATGGTTCCCCTTGACAATTTGTCCAGTCGTGTCCGACTCTAGGGGGCGGTGCTCATCTCCATTTCCAACCCATAGAGCTAGTGTTTTGTCTGAAGACAATCTTCAGAGGTCACATGGCCAGCGCAACTAGACATGGAATGCCATCACCTTCCAACTGTGGTGGTACTGATATATCTACTCGCATTTTGCATGCTTTCGAACTGCTAGGTTGGCGGGAGCTGGGACTAGTGATGGGAGCTCACTCCATCACGTGGATTTGATCTTGCGACCACAGGTCTTCTGACCTTATAGCACAGAGGCTTCGCAGGTCTTCTGACTTTATAGCACAGAGGCTTCTGCGGTTTAACCCACAGCACCACCATGCCCCTGATTAGTACTCTAGCTTAATTGAAAATATTTTTATTAAACAACTCCTCCAATTAAACTGTGAATCAACTCATTCTCTATGAATCCATTTTTACCAGTCTGGAAGGCAAAACATTAATTCTGATATATAAAATAGCTGTATGTTAATCACAGGCCAGACCTAAACCCTGCTGCAAAGATGTACCGAATGACATCACAAAATAAGAGTGTGGCTACAGCATCATGAAACACATTGACTGAAATCCTGTTATAGTAAATCCAACTGGACAAGTTCCATTGATTCAAATAGGCCTACTCTACTTTAGCATAATAAGTCACAACCAGAGTGGGCCCATTTGCGGGAATCAATGGAACTTCGAAAGGAGTCGACTCACCAATGCCTCACTGATTCCATGAGTCTACTCTAGGGCACCTTTACTGCACTAAGCAACAGGATTTCAGCCAGAATTGTGCCTGTGCTTCAGCACAATAGGAGACACAATCTAAATTAATCTAATATAAAATGCTTACATTAATATATTCAAAGAATAAGCCAAGTTAGTAAATGGTTTAGAGAAAATAAAAACCTGAAAGAACTGGGCTCAAACTGCTTTTTAAAATAATAATGCCAATGATGGCCTAGAAATCTCTCTATTTGATAGGAGCCCAGAATAACAAATGACAAAGCTAGAATTGTTGGCCCTTTACACCCACCTTGACCACAAAATGTTTACTTTCCAAATGAAGGAGCAAATTTTGGCATGGATTAGGTATGATGGGGGTCAGAAAATGGCAAAACAACACTGTCCATGTTATTAAAATAAACCTATTCAAAAATAACTTGAGGGCACAAAAAGCTGTTACTATTATTGTATTGCACCTCCTGGAAATAAAGGAAGGATCATAACATTAAAAATGTTCAAAATCTGTGAAAAAGAGCCAGTAACCTCAAGTCCTCTTTTTTCAAGGATGTTTACATAAATGTTTTTTTGGGGAGAAGCAGCAGCAACATCATGGCCTGAAAGCATAATGTATGTGCATAGCACATGCCATCACAACACACCTGTCTGGGCACACATCCTTTGGGCCATTATCACATTCCATGTTTTTAAAAGCATACAAACAGTAGAAGGATAATCCAAAAAAATCTGGAATTTAATATGCAACACAACAAGCATCATGAATGAACTCCAACAAAATTTTACATGGAGTGTGGAACATTAGAGGGACAAAAATTAAGAAAGCAAAAGTCTAGTGGAATAAATATAGTACTTAAGAATATACTTGGCTTCTTTAACATCATGCTACTTACTATAACTTTGGTAAGTCTTGCAGAGTTGAGGAAAAATAGTCTCCACATTTTAGATTTAGGTCAGTCCTGGAAATAGTAGTAAACATTCCAAGAGACTAAAAGCAGGATTTACATGAGACACCTTTGGAAGATAGGGAAAGGGAGGAATAGCTACCCTTGATCAAGTTTGGGGTCTACAGGGGCCTAAAGAGTTCCATTTTTCACACTGCTTTCAACTACCTTTTTAAATATCAGCTAACTCAAATTAAAATGTTGAGGTGACACCCTTGACAGTTTACAAGAACAAGCGTAATTGGATGTATGTATGCCTGTGTACATTAAAATGAATAAATTATTTCAGCAGAAGGTGGCAGCTCGCTCCCACAGACACTCATGGACATCAGGGGATTATCCAACCTAGCAGCACAGAATAAGACGGATAAAGTAGGAAACAGAAAGCAAACCTACAAACTGACAAGAATCCCCACACCTGAACACATACAACAAGTGATCAAAGTCAAAAACACAAACTGTATCTCAGGTTGGAAAGTTAGAGGTCTTTAAAAGCAAAGATACGTGCATAGACTTATGCTATAATATCCAGACTTATGCTATACTCTCTTCTTTGCACTGAGACTACTATCAAGCAAGTCCTAACTTCCAACAACTTATTGGCACAGTTTTATGTCCAATACCACAAACACTTAAATGTTTCCAGGTATTTTTAGAAGTAGAATTGCCATGATAGTACAAATTCTTAGTGTTTTGAATAACACATCACAGAGCTTAACTAATGTATAAAGTAACAAAACAGTGCTGTCTACAAGCAACTACTCATGCACTTCCAGTCTCTGTGTTTTCAATGAGCAGTAATTTAATATTTCTCCTAATATCCAGGCAGGCCAAAGAAAAGGCTAGGTAATGAAAGAAGCAAGTCAACAGAGTCAAAGAGGATGTATTACAGTAGGCCTTGTTCTTCAGGCAATGCGATATCTAGTAATTTGCCTAATAGAAAAGGAAAATTGCCATCCGTTCAGGAAGTCTCAAATGAAGCAACTGAGATTTAGGTAACAGGATGGTTGGTGTTGCTGAAATGTCAGATCACTGTTCTTTTAAACTCCAGAGAATTCAGTTTCAGTCTGCTGGGCTGATCTGATTAAACAAAGCATTCTGCTGAGCCACAGCACTGTCCCTCTTTGCCCGTCCATCTCTCTCCGCTCGCAGTAGTCTTCCCACGCTGCTGCTATTTAGATTACAAAGAGCATGCCCAGGAACCTATGTTATTTATAATACTCTCCAAAGTGCACCTGAGATATTTTTGCACAGCTGGCCAGTTTTACTTTAACTGTAAAAGGTCAGTTCAATTGGTGTTCAAATAAGTAAAGTTTGTGGGGGATCTTTTGAAATGAGTGTTTCTTGCAAACATACTTAAGCTTTGTAATTGTCACAAAATTTACGAAGATAATATCAATGCATATGTGCAGTTCCACAAATTTTGTGCAGCTTTGGTGACCAGCCATGTGATTTCAAGGATCAAGATCTTCCCACTAGAGTGGGGTCTTTTTCCTCCTACCTTCAAGCTGCACTTCCAATATACAGTACTGAGGAAGATCGAGAACAACTGCCTGCTGGGATTTCGTGCCATCACCAGATCCCCCTGAACTTTAAAAAGTAGCTTTAAATAAATAGTTTTAAAACATTTTTGAAAATAAAATTTGGCTCAAAAAGTCCCCTTGTGACCAATATAAAGCAAAGGGGCAATTCTTTCATGTTTCAAGGGTCAGTCCTCAGCACTTTTCCCCATAACCCAAATGTAATTTTTTAAAAATGTGTACTTTCTAGAAGGAGCAGTTGGGCTTTTTCAGGGGGGGGGGACTATTATTTCTAACAAAAAGTAAAGGGCTGCAAGAGTGGATGCAGCCCTCTGTGGCTCTGCCAGATGTTACTGGATTACAACTCCCTTCAGGAATTACAGGAGCTGAATCTAGCAACATCTGGAAGGCCAGATTGTCTAGCCCACACAACTGTCTCATATTACTCATTTGCTCCCCTAAATGACTGCAGAGAGAGCCTGATGATTTCCCACTCACAATATCCATAAATAGGATCAAAATAGCAAATAGGATCAAAAGTTTTTTTTAAAAGGTAATTGGAAGGAGTCATGAAACCAGTGTGTGTGTGTGTGTGTGTGTGCGCGCGCGCTTCTTGAGCATTTAAAAACACTTCAAAAACAACAACAAAACACTTTTTAAAACGAATTCATCACATTGACTTAAGATTTTTGAGCTACCTTGGCTGCTTCTGCTCCTTTTTGATCCCCAGCTGCTCCACTTGCACTTTTATCACCATGCTAGAAGAAATAGAAGCCACATTGTTAATAGAAGCAAACAAATTACCCACACAAGATAAGATGCAATGAACTGGGCAGTTACTTATGTGCACACCTACCATGCCCACAGGAAATAACAAATGAAATCAGATAAAGTTTTTTTTTTGGTTGCTCACTTCAACAGCCCATAAAAGCTTGTGCCAAATAAAACTTATTAGTCTTGAGGGTGCAACAAGACTCTTTGTTTTTAATTTTCAAATGGGTAGCAGTGTTACTCTGTAGTCTGTTGCAGCAAAAACAACTACAGTAACTCATGGAGGGAACATAAGAAAAAATAAAGGGACAGGTAGTTGAAAGTACTCAGACAAGAAGTCAATAATTAGCTTGTAATGAAGCAAGACACACCACTAAAATAAAAATGTCCTGACTAGAGGGTAAAATGTATAGTGCACCCTCTAGTGGATCGCACTGTGCACCAGAGCAGACCTGGGAAAAGCGCGGCCCGAGGGCCACATATGGCCCGCAAGCCGCTCCTGTCTGGCCCGCCGGTCGTCGCTCCAGTCCGGTGTCCAAGCACTTGTTCAAGCCCAAGACAGACTGGATTTCTCTCACTGAACAAGTTGAATATCAAAACCATTTATAGCTTTTTGTCTAAAGTTGATCAGTTGCTTATCTTTAACATATCGCAAAAAAAAAATCTTTAGTATTTGTGAAGATTGACAAGTTTAAAATAAAAACAAACAATACTGTTTCATTTTATTCTTAAGTAAAGTTGGTCTGGCCCCCCGAACACAGTTCAGATTTTTCATGTGGCTCCCCCTATAGAAGTTAATTGCTCACCCCTGGGCTAGAGGGTGCACTATACTGGGGCCAGATGAACTGGCTTCCCATTTGTTTTGGGAACACAGTTCAAGGGATCAAGCCTCCCCATGAGTTAAGTCACCAAGAGAAGCCCTTGCTACAACCAAGCTTCAGAAACGTCTATCTAGCAAGGCCTATCATATTCCCACCCCAATTGCTTTCCAATGCAATCTGAAGACCTTGTTTGTAGCAGGCACAGAGACCGTAGAGCCATCCAGAAACATGTGGTTGGACTGTAACTCCCACAATCCCACTCTACTGGCCACTCTAGGGATGATGGGAACTGAACAGCACATGAAAAACCACAGGTTCTCTGCCCCTTTATATGGCTTTATTGGAAGTCTGTTGCCTCGAGCAGTTTCACTGTAGCTTCCCAGGTTGTTTATAGCTACCATACTTGAATGTTTTATGTTGTTATCTGCTACTTGTTCTTTCAACTGCATTTGCTTTGTTGTTTGCATCATACTTTATTGTCTCTGTATTTTCCTATCAGTTACCTTAAACTTTCAGGAAAGGTAAGATATAATTATGTTAAATGGTGTATCGCCCACAACAGGGAGTTCCACAGCCTGGGCTCCAAAACACAGATGGCTCTTGACTGTGTTTACCATTTGATGTATTTACCATCAGATCTCTCCTTACGCTTTTAAGGATCCACACCAAGCTGATGTAATCGACTGCTGCAAAATGGCAAGTTTCTTCTTACGGCTTTATTAGCATTAATGCTTTAAAATTTCCTCAGCACATTTTATGTTAGGCTTCAAATTTGAACATAACACGGCAAAAGCTCTGCAACACATAATAAGCCTTGAATGCTGCAGACTGCTTTCATCCCAACTAGCTCCAAGGAAGCTAAGAAGTATAAGTACTGTAAGACACACAGTTGTTTTGTTCTATATAAATTACTTACACTTGAGTGATTCTATACTGTACGGTATAAATGGTTGACAATGAAGAATAGGTTTTCACCTTGCAAAAATGGTTCTACGCAAAAGTCTACATTTTAAACATTATGTTCACAACTCTAGCCTGCTAAACCAGTGCTTAAAGCACTAATTAAATGGAGAGAAACGTCCACTCTTCAGTTGACAGTATTTAAGATGTAGCAGTTCATTGTGTATTTGCAGGAATCTTTAATCCAGTATTTTAGTAATACAGCACTTTTTAAAAAAACACCATAACATACTTGACCTTCTGTACAGCAACACCTCCCACCCCCCAAAATATCTAATTGGTATATACAATATTCCCACTGCTTCTGCATACATTAGAATTTTCATTATATTTTTGTTCACCATTTCTTGCAAAGAGCTCCAGACAAAGTAAATTGCTGTTGCACCACCCCAGTTTATCCTTCATTCATTTATCCACTAAAGTCACTCAGCTTCCTTCTGGGTAAGGATTTCAAGCTCCACCTCTTCAATTCTAGTATAACATCCTCTAATCATGACATGACACTGGTTCTCATGAGAGGCATTACTGCCATTAATATATGTACGTGGTTTAGCTTTGTGCACCATGTATCTCTAGAAAAGCCCTTGCTTTATAAAAAAGAAAAGAAAAGAAATATCCTATGACACCTTGAAGGTCTTCAAGGCAAAGTCGGTGGGGAGAACTTCTGCGTCTGAACCAGTTCTGTGGCTGTGATACATCCCTGTGCTCCAAATACAGAGGTGCCTCGCTTAACTGGAGCCCATTTAACGACAATCCGCATAGCGACGGATTTTTTGCAATCTGATACATCCCTTTGCTCCAAATACAGTGGTGCCTTGCTTAACGGGCGCATTTAACGACGAATCCGCATAGCGACGGATTTTTTGCAATCGTTTTTGTGATCGCATTGCAATGTTTCTAATGGGAAAAAATCGCTTTGCGATGATCGGTAAGCTGTTTCACTTACCGATTTTTGCATAACGATGATTTCCCAACAGCTGATCGGCGGTTCCAAAATGGCCACCAGGTTAAAAAAAATGGCCTCCCGCTATGTTTTCGCTCGGATTCCTCGCTCACCGGGCAGCGGAAACGGCGGCCGTATGGAGGATTTTTGCATAAAGGTGAGTTGGCTTTTTTATTTCGCATACTGACAAATCCGTATAGCGACGATTTTGGCTGCACGGATTATCGTCGCAATGCGGGGCACCACTGTACAGCATTCCATGCCATAGGTGCAGGCAGAGACCTCTTGCTGATATCAAGATCTCTACACAAACATCTGCATGCAGCTATAATGATATGCTGCAATCAGCAACAATTTTTGTGACTAGTTTAAAAAATCCCACTCCTCCGTGATGCCTGTGTTGAGTTTTCTTTGGGGTGAGGTAAGAACGACAGAACAATTCTCAAAGTACTACAGGTATTACTACAATTAATACTTCACCCACTGCTCAATTAGAACCATATTCTTTTTAATGTATTTAAAACAAATAGATACCAATGGCAGTATAGGGAAAGCATAATTCTTTACTTTGTAAAATGTTAGCTACGAGATGAGACCCTGAGAAAGAGCAAAGAGGACTGAATAATTGGGCTAGGTACAAACACCATCTTCAAGGCAGCAGCTTTTTCAATTTTCTTCTTCACCATTGGCAATAATGTTCAATGAAGCAGAGTAATGTGTCATAAAGCCATGTCCTTTAGTGGCCACACCTATCAGCTCTGACTACTTGATATACAAGTTCAGCTTCATAAACGAGAAGGCAATGAATTAAAGTGCACCATAAACTTAATATATTGCACACTGCTGAGCCTTTCTCCCCTTCTTACTTATAAGCAAGTATTCAGGACTTCAATCCAGATCCGAGCACTTTCATTCCATTTCCAAACAGGGGATTTTAAAAAAATCAATCCACATCTACAAGAGTTTGTTTGTTTATTTAATTCCACGAGGATGGATTTAAGGAAATGAATACCTAGGTATATACATGATAGTTTAAAATCCCACCCACTGCATGCTATGTGTTTAAGGAATTCTGTAGTTTAAAACACAACCCCCCATAAGTGACACGGGGGATATTACAGGCTGAATTAATAAACAGAGGTGTTCTAATAATGCAAGGGCTCACTGGAAGGACAGATCCTAAAGCGGGAATTCTGTAGTTTAAAACAGAACCCCCCATAAGTGACACAGGGGATATTACAGGCTGAATTAATAAATAGAGGTGTTCTAATAATGCAAGCGCTCACTGGAAGGACAGATCCTAAAGCTGAGGCTCCAATACTTTGCCAATCTCATGAGAAGACTCCCCGGAAAAGACTCTGATGTTGTGAGAGAGTGAAGGCAAGAGGAGAAGGGGACGACAGAGGACGAGATGGCTGGACACTGTCATCGAAGCTACCGGCACGAATTTGACCAAACTCCGGGAGGCAGTGGAAGACAAGAGGGCCTGGCATGCTCTGTTCCATGGGGTCATGAAGAGTCGGACACAACTTAACTAAACAACAATAATGCAACTTTTTATAGCTCATTGCCAAGATCAGGTTTTTGAGAAAAACATCTGCTTTGTTATGTTCATGACTAGAGATGGGGGTATTCGTATTCATATATGAATACCCCTGCACAAGTGGCAATAATGAGGGTCCAGCCCCCTGGGGCCAGACCATCCACTCACAATTCCATCGCTGCCGCCGGCTCCGCAATCTTTCCTATCACTCTGGAGGTTGTGATTGGCTCGCCATTCCTGGCAGGGGGTGGGACGACGAGCCTCCCTGCCAGGTTGAAGAATTGAAGAGTGGCTCGCCGATCGCAAGCTCCAGAGTGATAGCAAGGATTGTTGAGCCAGCGGCAGAATTGTGAGTGGATTATCTGGCCCCAGTGGGCCAGACCCTTGTTATCGCCACCTGTGCAGGGATATTCATATACGAATACCCCCCTCTCTATTCATTACAAATCATGTCTTTCTACATCTTTCATTACCTCCTTCTGTTTTGGGAGAATATACAAGAAAAGTTTCAGGCAAGGGAAGAGTGGGGAAAAGCCTAAACTTCACCAAGCACTATATAATTAGTGGATAATGTTTGGGAAAGTTACATTTCTGAATGACAGCTCCCAGAATACCTAAGCCAGCAAGGCTTGAAATGCAGACTACAGGATTTGGGGATCTATTATCCAAAACATGTAACTTTTCCAAGTTCTCAAAATGTATTACCGTAGCTAAAAAAAT